CTTCCCTTATTGGTTTGTCAGTAAGGGACACAATTAAGAAATTTCTTGAGTGGTGGGGAGAAAGAATACTTAGCCCATATTTGGAACTGAAGCAAAAAGTTATTCTTCCCCCCAAAGGCATGATGTTTTAGCCTTAGAATTCACTTGCTTTTTTTCTGATAATGTTGAAAGCATAGGTGCCAAAAAGGAAAAACGAAATATTTTGCTTTGGTGTTGCTTTAGTGAGGGGAAGGATTTCAGCCTTTTAGTATAAGGAGGTGAAGAATGAAACCAAAGGCTTCTCCAGAAGGCAGTATTGTGCATAGAAAAAAGAATGGGCTAGAAGCTGTAGGCTAGTAGGACAGGGGAGCCCTGTGTAAAGGAACTGGCAAAAGGCTCCCCCCTCTATCTTCACCTCTCAGTAATAGCCTAATAGCCTTGAATCCTCATCTTCACTTTCCCAGGAACCACGGCCACGACTGCTTCCCTAGTGGTTTCTCATTAGCTCAAAGCGTTCCCAAACTCATCATCTTGTGTTCCCCCTCCTCAGTCAACCTACCTTTTCCTCCTGATGCTTTGACTTCCCTGTTTCTATTAATGAAATCACCCCCTCCCAGTATTATAGGGTGAGAACCCCACAGAACTCTTTATTTTCATTCTTCCTTCTCAGATTTGACAAGAGCTGGAGATCCTACCAGTAAAATGGCTCTTTTCATTCTCTCTCCCGAGAGAGAGGCAGACCTTTCCTTTTTGTGTGCCTACGAACTTCTCTTCAATCTTTATGTCAGAAAACACACAACACGTCACCTCCTCCCAAGAAGTCTTCCCTGACCTCCCCCACCCCCAACACATCCTTTATAGATACCACATTATTTTTGCTTTAGATGATTTACATGTATTTCTCCTATTCTTGAAAACAGGGGCCATTTTTTTTTTTTCATCTTTATGTCCCCAGCACCTATAATTGTGTCTGGTACAAAATGGATGTTCAATGAAGTTCTGTTGCTCTGAACTGTTTCTCTGCTAACATAGTTGAGCTCCAAGAGTTCCAGTGTTGCCTACCTCAGGAATCTCAGTCCTCATACCAGCATTTAAGGCTTTCATCATGTAATGCCAAGCTCCCATCTCTTCCTTCCTTCAGGTACTCCAGATGGCTGCTAGACCAAACTAGTCATTATTTCTCCACTTTAACCCTAGGTCCCATAGTTGTGCTTTTGCTTAGGCTTAGACAACCTTCCTCAATGTCTGCCAATAATTTGCCCAAATCTTGCTCATGTTTCTCAAGCCATACCCAAAGCCAGTTCTTGGAAGAGGCATTTTCTGATCCCCAACATAGCCCTACTTCTAAATATGCCTGAGCACATTACTATCACCATTAACTGATACATTGGTCAAATCTCTGTGATAAACTGTTTTTAAATGCATTTAGGTGTAATTTTTTTTGCTCTGAGGATTAAATGAAAGTCTCATGAATAAAAAAAAAATGGTTTTTAATTGGCCATTGTTCTCCATCACCCATTATTAGCCTGAGATACTTGAAAGAAGATGCTTTCCCACCAAACAAAGCATCTAGTCCAGCTCCTGGCCCCCAGGAGCCTCTAACAATACCAATGACAGGGGCACCTGGGTGGCTCAGTCAGTTAAGTGTCCAACTTCGACTCAGGTCATGATCTCACGGTTCGTGGGTTTGAACCCTGCGTCGGGCTCTGTGCTGACAGCCAGCTCAGAGCCTGGAGCCTCTCTTCAGAGTCTGTGTCTCCCTCTCTCTCTGGCTCACATTGTCTCTATCTCTCTCTCAAAAATAAATAAAACATTAAAAAAATTTAAATACCAATGACAAGAAGCATCACAGAACAAATAATGATTTAAGCCTTCCTTTCCCCAATCTCTTCATCAATATGCTTTCACCAATAGTCCCTTCTCATTCCCCAAAACAAGGCTGCTCAAGCTCCTAAAATATCACTTTGTCAAAGAGGCTTTTCTTGCCTACCAAATCTTAGGTAGATTTAGATCCACCCATTATATTCTTCATGTGCATTTTCTTCATAGCCTTCATTCTAATTATATGTATATGCTTCTAGCCTATTTGCTTTTTAATGCCTATTTCTACCATGGATCTATAATCCCCATGAGAGAATAGAACATGACTATTTTGTTCCTTGCTGAAACAGCCATTTCGTAACCAATCATTTGTCTCTTATATATTTTGTAAATAATTTCTCCAGATCTGCTGTTAGTGTTTTAACTTTATTCTGTTATAGGGGTGCCTGGGTGGCTTAGTCGGTCAAGCGTCCGACTTTCGCTTAGGTCATGATCTCACGGTTCGTGGGTTCGAGCCCCGCGTCGGGCTCTGTGCTGGCTGCCAGCTCAGAGCCTGGAGCCTGTTTCGGTCTGTGACTCCCTCTCTCTCTGACCCTCAACTGCTCAAGCTGTCTCTCTCTCTCCTAGAAATAAATAAAACATTTTTAAAAAACTTTATTCTATTATATATATATATACACACACACACGAGTTCTTTTTAAGTATATTAATTTAAAATATATTAAATACATATCACATATTAGTACAATTATATATCATACATACATATATATTTAAATGCTCCAGTGCAATATGTTCCTAGAGGTGAAAAAATTGAAAAGGCACCTCTTTAAGAGTCTTGAAGCATTTTGTCAAATTAGATATGTCTAGCCCTCTGGCAAAACTGTGGCTTGCATTCTTAAATCTCTACCAGTGGCCTCATGTTATTAAATTTTGCCAGACAAGCTGAATAGAATTATCTTGATGCCATGTAAGCATATTCCTGAAAATTTCAGGAATCAGGTGCCTCGAGCATGGGTGCCGTGTTCAGCACCGTGTACAAGGGGGAAGCTTTGGTGCCCTCCCCTGTTTATTATCACCAAATCCTGTGATAGTCCTCTCATGATTTACTTTTACTTGAACGAGTGCACAAATTCATCCATCCCCATTCCTCTCAAATAATAATTCCCTTTACTTCCATAGCCACTGGATAACCTCCAAGATCCGTGGTTAGCCAGAGAATACAAGTGTCAGTGTCTTTCCAGGTCACTCTCTAATACATAGCGTCTTAGCCAACTGTGTAAACAACTTTACCTGGCTATTCCGACCCAGTTATCATAAATGTTGCCAATTATAACAGTTTCTGTCATAGAGAAATGACATAGAAGAATGCAATGCACTCTGAGAGTAACCTGGTAAATATTATTGGGTCGGATGACATGGAGACAAAAGTTTGGTGGCCTCAGTACACACTTAGCCCTGAGCCATCTCTGTGAACATCATATGACTTCCCCTGATCTTTAGTCATCCCAACACATAGGAGAGTAGTGCTGGGTAAGCCAGGAGAGCACTCAGTGGACCTTTCCTAAATTAGACCTGCCTGTAATACATCATTTCCATTGTCTTTCCTCTGCAAATTAAAGAGTGTAATTCTTTATAATATACATTTTTACCTATTCCACATCCCACACAACATGGGAAGAAAAGCAAATGCATTCTTTACTTCTGTTCTTGGATGTAATCCAGGCGGAAAAAGTGAGGGGGGAATTTCACCTTAAATTTACTTGCTTCATCAGAGAGAGTTTTATTTCATTGTCTGATTTCTTGAACACATTCTTTGTTTTTTTGTTTTTTCTTTTTTCCTTCTTTTTTCTTTCTTTCTTTTTTGGCTTCTCAAGCTTTCCAAATGTGGAATAAAGGATTCAGAGTACAAGAACCTATCTCCAGGTGCAGCGAGGTGGCTCAGTCGGTTAAGCATCAGACTCTTGATCTCGGCTCAGGTCTTGGTCTTGCTTGGGATGGCGAGTTTGGGTTCTGCCCTGGGCTTCCCCTTAGGTCTGAGGCCTACTTAAAAACAAAAACAAAACGAGAAACAAAAAACTATCTCCAAGTGTCGATGCAACTCGGAGCATCTCCTATGTTCCCACAACTGTTTAAGCTTGAGGAGGGATAAAGCAGGGTAGGAATCACAAAGGTAACATCAGACTTGGTCAGAACCCTGACCTTTTACAAGAAAGGGGGTTCAGAGAGGAAACTATAATAACACAAGTAACTGCAATATACAGTTGACAGAAGTGACAAAGGCCATACAGGAAGAAAGATGGAGGAGAGGCGACAGGAAAGATCTCTTGCAGCACATAGCTTGTGCTGGACATTTAAGAGCAGAAAAGAATGTCTTAGGCAAACATTTGGATTAAGGACATTCTGTACAGGGGGACAGAGTGAGCAAATTTTCTCTCTGGGGGTAGAAGGCGGCAAGTTAAACTGACTAACTGATCCCTTTTTAACCTTGTTTTCCATTAACAGTTAAACCTAACGAAGAGAACGTGTTACTGGAGAAAAACAAATAGATGGCCTTTTATGGCCACAAGAAAAAAAATATGTATTTGGGGCAGTTACTCAAGTCTGAGTGTCAGCAAAAGGAACTTCCAGTTCCTTACTCGTACCTTCGCTTCTGGAGAAAAAGCTGGAAGAACTCTTTCGGCTATTTATTTCTTTCACTGTCCAATGGCAGAGAAGCTCAGACTTTTGAATGGAGCTGATTGGCTACTGTAAAAGCCCGCTCTGAGCAGGAACCAATCACATCCCGGAGCCCGGATTCTTGGAAATAGTTTCTGGCCAAGTATGCGTGACATTGAGACCGCCTCGCACTTGTAAACAAGGACGAGTCTGGGCGGGTCCCCAGCCCACGCGATCCCCGACTCTGTCCCAAGGGGCTGATCTTGAGCCCAAGTACCTCCAAATGCCCACTTCACCTTTCTTCCCCACCCCCTGCCTCCTCACAGCCTCGGGTACTGGTGCCAGGTCTCTCCACCGACAGGACCCCGCGGCCAGGGGGGCGGGGCCCAAAGTTCTTTATCTGAGCTGATTGGCACGGCCCCAGTTCTGGACGCGTCTCCCAAGTCCCAGTGACTCCTCCCCTTTGGAGTTGGGGGGAGCGCGTGGGGACACAAATAAAACCGCGGGAGGCGGCGGGTGGTGGCCAAACGCGAACTTGAGTCTCCTCCGACTCACCGCCGGCCACCGCCACTCGGAAGCATCCCCGAGAACCTCAGCCAACCCACCTGCCTTCTCCCTCGAGACGCGCACCGCCCCCTCCTCGGTCCCGGGTTTTGCTTTCCTCAGTCTACGTCCGTCAAGCCAGCGCCAGCGTTTGCCAGGCAGGGTGGGCATCAAGATGAAGGCGGCCCGCTTCGTGATGCGCAGCGCCGGCTCGCTGAGCGGCGCCAGCCTGGTGCCCCGCGAGGTCGAGCATTTTTCGCGCTACAGTCCGTCCCCGCTGTCCATGAAGCAGCTCCTGGACTTTGGTGAGCTGGGAAGTAGGGCTGGGTCGGGGCGCTGGGGTTGGGGAGCTGCCGTAACTTGCAGCCCTTGTGCAGGGAGCGCGGGGCTCACTGCTTAAAGTAACTGGAGTGCCCTAACTTGCTGAACCCTGGAGCCTCGACGCCTGTGCACCCTGCTCTGCCTTATTTCTGACAGTTTGTGCCTACAGGTGAAGGCCACTTGCTGAACCGCAGATACCGGATGGTTTGAGCTCATCTTTCCGTCCAGCGCTTTCAGTCAAAATACTTTTTGCTTTCAGTCACCTTTTCACAATGAATTAAAAACTTTCTCTGCACCTCCACAGCATACCACTTTTTGGAGAAGATTCCTAATGTTATAAAGTAGCCTCAAATTAATTGAAATTTTATTCCTTAACCACCTTCCACCCTTTCTCACGATATATACATATCTTTGCATTCCTGACAAATTTGTCTCTTTACCATCCTGGTTTTCCCTATATTTGCATTACTGCCAAACATGTCTACAAACGTTCTGCAGTAATCTTATGAGGAAATTTTCAAGGATTTAAATGTGATATTATTTACCACTAATCTGGAAACCTCGTGACTCTTACCCACCCTCTTATTCCTCTACTCCAGTTTCATATCTAGAACTTTCTGAACCAAGTTGTCTGGTTGACATAGTGGTGGTGACTGAGCTATGGGATAATCTCACTTCATGGAAACGAATCCTCTTCCAAAAAAGTGAAACAATAATTCTCATATTGGTCATTAAAAAAAAAAGTAAATAAAAAGACAATAAAGAAGGAGATACTTACTTCTGAATTACCTATAGGTAATAACCCAACTGAGGGTAAACTATAATTTTATGATGTGTATGTATTCAATATTAGATAGTTAATGCTATTCAGATGTATCATTTGGATCTACTTTTCTCCAGAATCTAAATAATTGTTATTTATTACAGGTTCAGAAAATGCATGTGAAAGGACTTCCTTTGCATTTTTGCGACAAGAATTACCCGTGAGGCTAGCCAATATCTTGAAAGAAATTGACATCCTCCCTGATCGATTAGTCAATACCTCTTCAGTGCAATTAGTTAAAAGCTGGTAAGTGGTCAATCCTTCTGAAATAGTCTGTTTTTCAGACAAGTATCTAAGTGTGAATTCTTATAATATACTAACATCATATTTGGAAAATGGGTGGTCTGAACAGTAAATAATTTTGAAAGATGTTAAGATTTTTTAGTAATTTAGAGTCTGTTATCCTAAGGATAGTTATAAAGCTATAAACAGACATTTTAACCTGAAAAAAAAATACATAGTTTCACAATATAATTGCATTTTAAATAATAAAAGACAGGGTTTGATACTGCAAAAGAAATCCTACTTAAGAAATAGAAAAGAATGACTACTATTTAGAGGGTCTAATCTTTGTCACTTACAAACCAATTAGCACCAAGCTTTGGGTTCAAATCCTGCCTCTGCCTCTTCCTAGTTATTAGAATTCTTAGCAAGTACCTTAAATTCTCTATGCTTCAATTCCTCCATCTGTGATTGAGGAAAATAAAGTATATGCTTCAAAGGGATATGTGAATGAAATTAAATGAGCTAATTCATTAAAGTACTTAAAACAGCATTTGGCACGCAGGCTGTACTTAGTAAGTATGTTATTTTCATCTCATTTTAACGATAAGGATACTGGGGCTTGGAGAGGGTAAATCACACAAAGGAACAGATTTTCAGAGAACAGGGCCAGGGTATGCAGATGGGTCACCTGAGCATCACTCTGATCCACTGACTGCACAGCTTTTTGTTCACTGATTCAAGAAATATGTATTCTATTGTATTATATTATATATATTATTAAGCAATTACAATGGGAAACACATATTAAACAATTACCACTTGAAACTCGTATTCTGGATTGAACTGACTTTCATGAGTTCTACTCACGCCTACGAATGAATATAGTAGGAAAAAATAGGAAGCCTTCCTTAAAAAGTTGTTTCTAAATGCTATAGAAAAAGAAAACATTTGTCAGATGAAACGAAAAACTGACTACTGATTTGGAATGATTAAAGAAATAGAATTTTATGTTAGAAAGGTGAGTGTTAAAGTTGTAGCTTCTTTTTTCTTTTTTTTAGATACACGGTTTTCCAGATGTCTTGAAAGAAAATTTCAATTTTAAACATAATACTTTTTCTTTACCAGTCATTTTGAAATGAATTAGCCACTTATATCTGACTATTCAGTTTTAAAACTTAAAGCACACCTGTCACTTTACAGGTATATCCAGAGCCTGATGGATTTGGTTGAATTCCACGAGAGAAGCCCAGAGGACCAGAAAGCTTTATCAGAGTAAGTTCTATGCATCGGAATAAGTGTCTAAAACTTTGACTACTTCCAGACATATCCTAAGATTTTTTTAGAACATAAATTAAAGGAGCTACAGCTCTGAATAACAAATAATCTTCTCTTTACAAATGACGAGTTTGGGCTTGTTGGTTTTTTAAAATTGATAACGATAGCATAGAAAATGCTGCTGAGTACGAACAAGTGCAGAGGCTTTTTCTTTTTTAAGGAAATCTATTTTTATGATAAATTTAGTCTGATGATGGGATTTGCGGACAGATTTACTCTTGTATAATATTAATATATATCATTGTCACGGGAGATTGAACACTTTCTTTCAGAGTCACTGACAGTTTCTGGCTATAAGAATAAGAAAGAAGAATCGTTTTACAAGTCTGATAAGAAATTTGGGAAGTTTTTTTCACAGCGCCACTCTAGAATCCTCTTTCATAGTAATTATTTTTTAATTATTACGTTTTAAAGAAAATGCTTAATGAGTTCATAGAATGAATTCACCAGTTAGAAAGCTGGTATGTTTACATGTAAGTTAGGAGCAAAATAAATCTTTCTGTGATACTACCTCCTCTACTGGAGTCAAAGAATTTGTAGTGAGAGGCTTCATGAAACTTCCTCCAGACCTTTTATCGCTTGAGTTCTTTAGATGGGTACTTACGAAAAACTTTAGCTTCCTTTGAAGTAACCTAAGGAATGAAACTTACTGGAACTTTCACTAAGTGTTCATGTGTTTTGGCTTAGCTTTGTAGATACCCTCATCACGGTTCGAAATAGACACCACAATGTGGTTCCCACAATGGCACAAGGAGTCCTAGAATATAAAGATGGCTGTACAGTTGACCCAGTCACCAATCAAAATCTTCAGTACTTCTTGGATCGATTTTATATGAACCGTATTTCTACTCGGATGCTGATGAACCAGCATAGTAAGTTAGCTCATTGTGGTCATGACACACAGAGATGGGTGGAGAAGAGAAGCCAGACCCCAACCGGATATTCCACTATTCAGGGGCTCACATTCTTTTACAATGGTAGTTTTCATCACTACTATCCTGATTTTTATAATGACTGTTTTTATTTGTCAACAGTTCTTATATTTAGTGACTCACAGACAGGAAACCCAACTCACATTGGAAGCATTGATCCAAACTGTGATGTGGCAGCTGTGATCCAAGGTAATTTCCAGATTTCTGCATTTTCCTGATTGAAAGATATATACTATATGATTGACATATCTATAGTTAAGGTGACTTTGTGAATGAATTTGTATTCAGTGTTCCATTTATATTTTATAAATGCTGTCATGAAGGTCCTTTGCTGAGAGTCAGGGGTTTAAACATTCGTTTATAAAATTATAAAAATCCAAACATGAATAACTAATGTCCGTATTCTTACGTATATTTATTTCATCTCCAAAGTGCGCATATTTCTATCGCTACAGCTATAGCTTAACCACTGTCTTAACTTTTTTCTTCAATAAAATATTTAAAAGGTATTTCTTTTCAGATATATAAGCATGTACTCTAAAGAATATTTTAAATATTTAGAGTACAAGGTAGTACACGCACTGAAGATCACATGAAAATTTTACCTGGCATGAATGTATTTCATCATTACGAAACAAACCTTCTATTTCAGATGCCTTTGAGTGTTCAAAGATGCTTTGTGACCAGTATTATTTAACATCGCCAGAATTAAAGCTCACACAAGTGAATGGTAAGCTATAAATAAAACATATTTTAATCTATGGAAAATGCACTGTTCTCCCAGTATGACTACTTCTTGTAAATATAGAGCAACTTCTGTGTTTCTTTTCTCCCTCCTGAACTTGTCTAGACTTTGTACGCTTCTTTTTTGATGCCAAGGTTCTCTTTATCTCAACTGGAAAGTTCCAACCGAGCATATTCAGTTGCTGCTAATGATTTATAAAGATGAATGGTTTGAGCAGATAATTTAAGATTTAGAGTAGCAACAAAGTTCCAGTATCATAGATCAAAAAGATAGCTTATTACAACATATGGGAGTTAGGGAGGCCAGAAATAGGAGAAGCCACTGGTTGTGGCTATATACTCCTGGAGAAGTTACTCCTAAGACCTGGAAAAAAAAACAACTTTAAATTTACTGTAAGAAATAAGCCAGTCCTAGAAGGACAAATGCCGTGTAATTCCACTTCTCTGAGGTATATAAAATAGTCAAACTCTGAGATGCAGAGAGTAGAATTGTGGTTGTCAGAGGCTGGGAGCTGGGGGAAGTGGAGAGTTGCTATCTAATGGGTATAAAGTCTCAATTATGTAAGAATAATAAGTTCTAGAGATCTGCTGTACAACACCATGTCTACAGTTAACAATACTACATTGTACACTTAGATATTAAAACGGTAGATCTCATGTTGAATGTTCTTTTAAAAATGTTCTTAAATTTAAAAAGTTTTTTTTAATTGCACTATAAGAATTCACCCCTGTTTTGGAAGCAGAGCTTACTTCAGTGACTTCAACTCTAGGGCACCTGAAAAGATAAGGTCTTCCCACATTGAAGTGATAATATGATGAGTGCCAGGCATGGTTGTTTACCTTGTCCCATGGTGCTTCTTAAAGAAAGACAGTTGAAATTAAGTTGGGGGGATTGAAAGTACCCTAACTTGCAGCCTAGGGATATGTAAATATAATTGCCAAATTAAAAATAGGAATACAAATAAAGATTGAAAAATACCTCTAAGCAGTAACAGCATTGTTGCATAATACTTGTAGATAAACTGCTTGAACTGTTTGATCAAATAAAGAGGGAATTGTGCCCGACCTTCTGTTTACTGATTCAAACACTGCCAAGGCTTGAGACACCAGAGAATAATACTTTTATTTTTCTTCCCAAATAGTATTAATGAGGTTTTTGTTTCTCTGTTTTCTTTAACCTCTTGGTGAAATGTAAGCATATTTAGCTTGTAAGATTTAAAGTTTGGGTGATAAAAATCAAGAATAATCCAAAGTGTTGTTTTCCCACAAAATATGAAAATTATAGCTAACATTCATTTTGATGTTATGCTATGGACACATTTATTTTTTCTTCTTTCTTAAAACGCATATAATTTTAACTCTGAAATCGCCCAGTACAAAAGTTTTGAAAACAGAAACAGATAATCCACATAATCTAATTTATCGCAGCCTTGTGACACACTTCATCTGACTTTATACATTGGTAGAGAAATGCAAAAAAATTAATCATAGAGCACAAGGCAGCAACTGTAATAGCATTTTGAAAATAAACCAGTTGTGTTTATTGTTTAAGAGGGACGGTTCTTGGGTAGAGTTTCAGAATGAAGAAAGATGGGAAGTATTTTAATCCTGAGAATAAGGAGTATCTATTAATTCACATAGATATGGGAGTTTGTTTTAATGAAATATTTGCTTACTGATTCTAAATGAGTTTAAATTTCTTCTAGGCAAATTTCCAGGCCAGCCAATTCACATTGTGTACGTTCCTTCTCACCTCCATCATATGCTCTTTGAACTGTTCAAGGTATTGACACTTCACAATATAATTTCAATCTTGTGGGCTTTTTATTTTTAATTCATGGTTTACTTTTTTATTTCCTTTATCATTTCCCACTAAACGGGAGCATCACTGTCTTCTCCCAAACATGCTTCTGTGCGCCTAAAAGAAAGAAGCTACAGTTAATGTTTGAAAGGACACATGCAGTTCATTGTAACATTAACCCTTACTTGAGAAGGCACAATGTGATTTATGATGTCTTAGTGCTCCCTGTGCGTATTATTTTCTCGGGTGTCCAACAAAGCACTCGTCATTAATGTATTTGTTAAGGAATGTCATGGGGTAAAAGTTTCAGTGAATGAGGCCTTGTTACCTCCACCCCCACAGGACACTCCAGCTCCAAATCCAGAAGAGGCAGAGCTCCAGCCTGAATCTGGAATATACTCAGAAGGCAGTCAGTTCCTTCCATGATCAGCGTTAACATGCATATGAATCACCTGGGGTTTTGTTAAAAATGCAAATTCTGGGGGCGCCTGGGTGGCTCAGTTGGTTATGTATCTGACTTCGGCTCAGGCCATGGCTCAGGCCATGATCTCACGGTTTGTGAGTTCGAGCCCTATGTCGGGCTCTGTGGTGACAGCTCAGAGCCTGGAGTCTGATTCAGATTCTGTGTCTCTCTCTCTCTCTCTCTGCTCCTCCCCTGCTCATGCTCTCTGTCTCTCTCTCAAAAATAAATATCAAAAATTTTTTAATAAAAAATACAAATTCTGATTAAGTGGGACTGCTGTGGGGCTGAGGCTTAGAATTTTTAATAGCCAACAGGTGATGTTGCTGGTCCACACTCCACACTTTCAGTAGCAAGACTGTAGACAGAGCTTCTCAAACTCCAGGATGCATTAGAATCACCTGGAAACATTGTTAAAACACAGATTCTTAGTCTCAGCCCCAGAAATTGTGATTCCATACATCTGAGAATTTGCATTTCTAACAAGCTCACAAAGGATATGAATGTACCTGTCTCGGGTAGCCAGGTACTATCGATCAAATCCTGCCCTGGGTTTTAACACCAAATTAAAACTGTACGTACACCAAAAAGGAGGAAAACACCTGAAGCTCCATGATATTTTTCAAGAGTCCCTTGGACTGGAAGAGGAGGAAACCTAAAAAAAGTGAAATGTGCCTCTAATTCTGATATAGTTTTTCTCAGAACTCCCTGTTTCCTACCTTATTCTAATGTTAGTGCAATGGGGTATCAATTGTACTACAATTTTCTTTTACTTCAGCTAATGATTAGAGCTTGGTATTATATCCAAACCAGAAAGCAGATAATGTACTACAAAAAGAGTGGAGAGGAAGATGGGTGAAATAAACCAAAACTTTATCTGTCTGAGATTCATCCAGTTGTCTGAAAACTTGTTTGAGTTTCTTCTCTGTTAAAGGACAAAAGATAACTTTTTTTGTCGACTTCACTTATTTTTAAATTGAATAGTCCCAACTCCTAGAGTTATTTTGCCATCATTGGTAAAAGTTAAGATGATAATCAAATGCAAATTGAAATTTAATTTAGAATTATTTACTGTCCTTTTAAATAGTAACAACCTTTCCCAGCAAGTTTTATAAAAGCCAATAAATTGGTTCAATGATTCACTGTTTATTTGTTATGTAATAGTCTTTGGTGCTTGGATGTAAAATGTAATGGAAAGACAAAAAAGAGAGAGCCAGGAAATGGACTATAAAAACCAATTTCTACATTTAAATTAAGCTTACAAATAAGAACTTGACAGCCAGCAGAATTGTTTTTCCATTAGACATTACTCCCAGGAGCTATATTACATGGTAAATGAATATTTTTCATTATACTTCCTGCATGACACATTCATAAATGGCTATTTACAGAGCTGTTTTACTACTAACTTAAAAAAAAATAGGAACTTTGAATTGCCCTCTGTGCTGCTTTTATTTTAAACATAAAAAACAGTTATTTATTGTTTCTCATTCTTCTGCCATTGAATTCCTTATGGTTTTGATTTCCTTAGAATGCAATGAGAGCAACAGTTGAACACCAGGAAAATTGGCCTTCCCTTACACCAATTGAAGTGATTGTTGTCTTGGGAAAAGAAGATCTTACAATTAAGGTAACCATTCTCTGTGTTTCTTTTGAGTCTCTCTTGAGAGAAGCAAAAACGTGTCAATAACAATAATCAAGCTCTCTGCTTTGAGCAATAGATCAAAGTCATGTACACCAGGTGATTTTTAAATGAAAGAAAAAAATATTTTTCTATAGATAAATGCACAGTGTTTTTAACGTATAGCTTTGGTGACTTATTTGTTTGTTTAAGATTTCAGACAGAGGAGGTGGTGTCCCCCTGAGGATCATCGACCGCCTCTTTAGTTACACGTACTCCACTGCACCAACGCCTGTGATGGATAATTCCCGGAATGCTCCTTTGGTAAGACCAGTTAAATGGCGAAGTTCAGCCCAGCCACTCAGTTCTAAATGTAAAGCAAGGATTACAAGGGAGTGTTTAGTTAAGATAGTCAGTTTAGTTAAATTGGGCATGGAGGGCCTGAGAAAGAATGATAAAGCAAGCAGAAAATGGCAAAACAATTCTACAGGAGGTCTGTGATTGGAAGCAGAAAATATTTATCTAGGTTCTAGAGCATCAGTATCAGGAAGGACGATAACTCTGTCCTCCATCTTGTATTTCAGTGATCATATCCACTTGTTTGCCAATAACTGATCTTTCCCCTCTAGGCTGGCTTTGGTTACGGCTTGCCAATTTCTCGTCTCTATGCCAAGTACTTTCAAGGAGATCTGAATCTCTACTCTTTGTCAGGATATGGAACGGACGCCATCATCTACTTAAAGGTATCCTGTAAATTCAATAGAAACAACTGTATTTCTGAAAACAGTGCCTCCTTCACAGACCCAAGTTCCATGGTCCATAGTAAATACCCCAAACTGAGTTAATGCAAATAATGATGACTAAAGTCATTTTACTTTCTGTTTGGTATATGTAGATATACGATTTAATATTTGCTATGGTAACTTACCAAATTGGAAGTGGGGCCAGGCTCCCTGCCTCAAGTGAGGCAAAATTATTTCTCAACAAGCACGTGAGCTTCCAAGTGAGGAGATTCTCACGTGAATTTTTAAAATCAACACCTTTTGGCATCTGTGAGAATAGCCGTATCTTTGTTCTCCTTAAACTCGTGGGAAATATATGCTAATAATGTTCCAGCTTAGAAAACAACTGATACCAACATACAGAAGACATTAAGCTGACCTTATTAGAAATCCAGGGAAGGAAAAACTAACAGCTCACAAGCTGTCAGTTGGATGTCTGGCATTTCCTGATTAAACTTTAAAACTTGGTACATGTTTTTTCTATTTCTAATAAAGCCTCAATTTATTTGTTAAGGTCACCATCCTGATTCGTTAATCATTTTCCAACCATTTTGACTGAAAACATATTTACGGATTTTAGAGACTAAAACATTAAGCTTGCAGGCTCCTATTTTGTGCAAGAGATTTATCTGCCAAGAGGCTGTTGACTATCTGAAATAGTTCATGTATTCATTTCTTAAATGAGCAAAATTTTCAAAGCACTGGGAAAGATTAAGAGATCATAGATTTATAGTCTCAGATTTTAATAAATTAATTGTATCAGAGTAGGACTCTATCACAGATACAAAGGTTTTTGTAAATAAAGAAGAGCTTTGCTATTCAGCTCTATCGCATCAGCAATATCCAAACAAGGGACATGTGTAAATAGTGAATAAAAATTCTGTTCCACAGTTTATAATTGTATATATGTTGTTTCAGCCCCTATAGTGCAGAAATAATATTTGCTTTTTTTGCTTTCTTTTATACATGCCTGGCATACTATGGGCTGTGGTGTGTTCTTATTACTGAATCAATGAAAGGGATGTATTTGAATGTTTGAGTACTTACCTCTGGATTTATTTTGAATAATCACTTCAAGTACAAATTATGCCATGAATAATTTCTTCGGTTTGATTTTTCTTCCCCATCTTCTTTCAGGCTTTATCTTCAGAGTCTGTAGAAAAACTCCCCGTCTTTAACAAATCAGCCTTCAAACATTATCAGATGAGCATTGAGGCTGATGACTGGTGTATCCCAAGCAAGGAACCGAAGAACCTGGCGAAGGAGAAAGTGGCTCTGTGAAAAGGGACACTCGGGACACTCTAAGGGATCAAAGTGGGCCAATGCCAGTGCTGCTTCTTGAATGTTTGTGTGTGAACTCCTGTTTCCTCAGAAACAAACAAAAGCAACGCCTTGATCACAACAGTGATGCAAAAGGAACGACATCCGTTCTGTGATCCAGGAGAGTGTATCGTAGGCGTTAACAGATGGCCAGTCTCCATTCTTTTAATGTAGCCCAACATATGAGCTCATATCAAATCCTGAAGCAGAAGAAAGCCTCAGGTGTCCATCTCTTTATCCATAAGAATGGGAATCGAGTGAAGTGAAGATATAAGCTAGCAGTTTCAATAGACTGATATTTAGGCCTCTGGTTGATGGCATCAGACGCTGGTATTTATTGCATGCCAAATGTCAATTGCCAGTATTTCCCTGCCATCAAAGGGTTGGGGCATAGTTTACACTATGTGATTAGACACATACTCACATGTACATTTCATACATTTCTATGCGCTGTAGCAGGGGTAAGCTGGTGACTGAATAACATTTACATTGAATGTTATTGGAATGAGTAAGAAAGAGTCAAGACATTTCATTCAGAGTTGCAGCCAAGGCCTGGGGCCTGTGTAAAAACGCAGAAGAAAGCCTCTTCTGATAAATCCAGTGTCCTCATTATGCTGCTTCCTGTTCACACTTCATGTAATAAGTGAACAACACAATATTGCCAGGTGCCTGCCTAGTCTTGAGTGAGTTTTAAAATACGCACCGAATTCAGGATGTCGGCGGTTAGCAGGGGCGGGGAGAATTGCCAAAGTGGTAACAACAATATCTCTCACCTTGCTTTGTTTATAAATGAAATGGTAGATTGGAAAAGCCAATGTTAGGGAACGAAATCATGAATTCATACCCTAACTCGGTAGGAGGGGCTGTTCTCTACTCTGCAGTGGTGGTAATGATGGTATCCATTTTCTAGGCTTAATAAGATATATTTTCTTTGTATTCAATTTATCCTCTACACTCCTGCATTAACCTGTCTATAAAAACAATTTCTAATTATCAAACGGCTTGAGAACATTAGAATTTAACTACTTTTGGGGATATTTTTAACAAATAGCCTGGGAGTACGAGGTTTTCATGCCAGGATGCTTTCATCTGAATAGTTAAGAGAGGACTGATAAATGGAAGTTGTAATGCATATGGAACTTTTGTGGAGCTCAAGTATAATATGCAGGTTGATAGGCAGTCTAGCATATAGCTCCCGCAAAAGGAATGGAAAAACGAAGGAAGGAAGGAAGAAAGGAGAGAAGGAAGGAAGGAAGGAGGAAAGAAAGGGAGGAAGGAAGGGAGAGAAGGAAAGAGAAAGCAGGCATCTTGCTTTTTTCCCTACAAATTATTTCAAGAAATGATCTATATTTTCGTAGATAAATTCCTGGCAAGAGGATGAATGGAATTGCTTCTTTAAGTGGTTCTCTCACTCTTGTGAGATAATAGGCTTTAACAAGATAGTGAACTCATCTGTTCAAATTGAAGTATAAACCAGGATATAGAAAAAATATAGAATTTTCTGCATTGTAAAATAATCAGTACTGTTTGTATATGTTGAATTTAACATTTTTCTATAATTTTGTTGTGGCTTAGAGTTGTGGTGTTGCTTGTAGGTAGTGGCCATAAGGGCCTCAAATGATTTGTTGTGGATGTCAGACTTTTATCATGAGAAGTCCTACGTAGTGACTTTTCTTGATGGTGGGACTCTGGCTGATGCGTTTATCAGTTACACCAAACTATTTACAACAGATTATTTAACTTTTCAGTTTTTACTGAAATTTAAACATGTTGCATGTAAATACTTGTATTTACCAAAGATTTAAGGCAGTTTATTAATTAACCCAAACACTGTGAACTATCTTTAAAATACTAGAGAAAAAAATTAATATCTCAATAACATCAACTGTGTAAATGGAGTTCTATAAAATAGAAATAGTCTACATTGGTATTTGTAAAATCTGTGGAAGAACTTTAGGATTCTAGCAGATGGATACTCAATGTTCAGGCCCACTTAAGTTATTGATGCATAAATTGTGTTTTTGTCTCTATGTACAAAGAGATGTAATCATTTTTATAATAAATATTTTTATTATAACAATAAACATGGTCTTTTGAATTTCATTCCTCAAATTAATGGCAAAATACTAAGAAAAATTTGAGGTAAAAGTTTTCCTCACCTTATAGTCAAATCTAATTTATCTATGTATTGAGTATAGCCTTTTAAAAGTATTGAAAGTAACTGAAACTCTTGATTTTTAATCAAAAGATAAGTATTTTACGTCAGTCCAGAAATTTCATATTGTCCTTTGCTTTCTTGGGTATGCGCCAATTACACATAGGACATAGTGTGATTACCTCCATGAATATCAGGAATCATTTGCGATACATATATTCTGTACATTTTTGGTACATTAAAAGTTTCACTTGGTGACTCTATTTACATAATAAGTGCCAGAACAATTATCTCTATAATTTAGGTTCCCACACAACTTCTGGGTTAAATATCTGAATAATAATAAGGTAGAAATCGGAAAGAAATTACTAAATTAATCTTTACACTGTCTTTCTTAACTGATTTAAGTATCCTTTGCCTATCTTCATGGAAAAGTTTGCCCTTATGGAAAAGTTCTGTAAATAAAAAGTAAAAGGGGTGGAAGACAAAAAAGGAAGGAAGGAAGGAAGGAAGGAAGGAAGGAAGGAAGGAAGGAAGGATAAGTAGAATAGGTTTGTCATAACTAAATTCTAAAATCTTATCAAAATAAGAATCTGGGGGCGCCTGGGTGGCTTAGTTGGTTAAGCGCCCGACTTTCGATTAGGTCATGATCTCGCGGTTCGTGGGTTCGAGCCCCGCGTCGGGCTCTGGCAGTGCTGACTGCCAGCTCAGAGCCTGGAGCCTGTTTCAGAGTCTGTGACTCCCTCTCTCTCTGACCCTAAGCTGCTCCCTCTCTCTCTCTTTCTCTCTCTCTCTCAGAAATAAAAATAATAATAATAATAATTTGAATCAGACATGCCATCAACTTAAGGCATTAGACCCTAAAAAGCATACTGTAAAGCCCTTTATCAATGACACTCAGGGGAAGTACTCACCATGCCTCTAAGGAAACTGCATGCACACATGTGCACACACAGAAACACACACACATGATTTAACAGTAGTTTCCTTGGATTAAGATACTTGGAAGTTAGAGGGTTAGTGCACTTCACAGGCTCAGAACCTTTATCCACGTTTCCATAAAAACTGCAAGACTTCAATCCCCACAACTCTCTATGTATTTATGCACACATACATCTTTTTGACTCCAGTCCAAGGATACTAATTTTCAGGTTAAACAAAGTTGGCCAAATTTTCATCAAACCATCTCTATACCATTTCTTCCAATTTCAAATTTGGCTAGAAATGATGAAAACTTTTGCAGAAAGAAAGAGAGAGATCATGGTGAGCTAGCAACTTGGGTATTGACCTTGATAATGTCTTCATTTCCTACTATACTTTCAAGTAGTGCACTCACACTTAGATGCGCACCAACACTGGAAATATACATGAACTCTCCAGATCACTTTGATCTGGCCTGGTGAAAGAATTGAGAGTCTTTCATAATTTCACAGGAGCTTAGGTAAGAAGTCCCTAAGCCCCCAGCCATGAGCACTTAGAGCAGCAGGGTTTTTATTTCCACTAACGTTTTATCCATACAGCTCTCTTTTTGACTTTTCACTTTTTATCTTACATCACAGTTATTTAGGAAGTCCATTAACATTCACTGGATAAACACATGAATAAATTAATAAACACATAAACAAACGTCTGCCTACAGAACAGCATCTCTGCATTTAAGGGAAGATTGACACTCTGTGTTAAATAAATATACATCAAATTTTATACAATTTTATGCTTTACGAGAAGTCTTACAACATTGCAGAAACTGGAATACTTTCCCAAGCAAGTTAAATTGCAGCTGATCTTTGTTTAAGATCACTTTCTGTTGGTGGTCTTGGGCCATTGGAAATTATCACGTATTTCAAAACTAATGAAATAACAGGTAAAAGTTATTACCACTCAGGAAATTTCTTGAGCAAATGGGTCAGTGTTTCAGATCTATGAGTATTCTTTCTTCTTGTTCACCTTGGACTCAGATGAAAACATATTACCAGCCATATTTCATGGCCCTTTAAAGGAAATGAGCAACTGTCTTTTAATGAGATTTTTCAGTTCCTACCCAAGTGCAAATAAACATTAAAAGCCACTTCAAACCAACAGAAATGTCAGTAGCCTTGAAAACATGTTGAATCTACTAAATGATGTGAAAATGATGTGAGCTGTCTTAGTGATAAATTCAGCAAGAAAATGATAAAGTTTGTCAATACATTATGAGACATCATTTTCATGTTTACTGCTACCATTTAATGTAATGAAAATAACATGGGACTGCTTGTCAAATAATGCAATAGAGCTAGGAGTTATTTATTAGCATACTGTTTTCCATAAATGTAAAAGGATGTTTTAATATCTCAGCAAATAAAATACTGAGTAGCCAAGTCTTGAGGCTTCTTTTTAAATCAATTCCATTAAAACTATGCCTTGTAATGTGTCTCTGGCCCCAAAATATACTTTGATAGCTGGTAGAATTGCCCTTAACTCAGTCTTTTTCTTTTAAATTCATTTTTAAGCATAACAAAATTTGTTTGAAATTATAAATTTGTGATCTGGAAATAAATTTAAAAATTGGAAACAAAAGTGAAAGCCTTATACCATGTTCTTAGGCAATTATCTTTACCTATTTGAACACAGTTTTCTATTCTCCCTAAATGAGATCTAGCTGTTTAAGGCACCTCTAAAGTTTTGAATCTATATTTTCTAATAATTCTTTACTGAATACTCTGCCTCCAATCTTTCTCCAATCCAAACTAAGCTCTTCATAATATTGCTGCTGGCTTTCCAGTGCCTAAAATTCTGATATTGAGAGTTTTCTGCATGACCAACCTCACACTTTATACCTTCCATTCCGAACACAGCTCAAATCCCATTTTCATGAACTGTGCATCCCAGTTCAAGGAGGCCTCTCACCCAACTTTCTCCTTTAAAGTCTCACATGGTTGAGATAGTTTCAGTTTTTATCACATAATTCCTAAGGTTCTTAGTTACATGTTACAGAAAGATATAAAATCCAGCAACCCAACTAGACTGTGTGTTCTTTGCAATCCAGGGCCATAAATTACATGTACTTATTTAAAAAACCCATGAGGTTAGACCTGTCTCATGTATAATTGACCCTGAAAAGCATATCTTGATTAATATATTTTCGATGAGTTGGAGAGACAGAGAAAAACAGTGGAACAATTCCTAACTGGGCAGATTATTCTATTTGTCTAAAACCAAGGCCTCCCATCTTAATATTTTTTAATGACCCTCAGTATTTCATATTAACCTGGGAAGGATTCATGTTTATTTCATGATGGATTATGGCTGTAATACATACATACAAACCAACTAAAACTTTTTCTTTAAGGCTTAAAACCAGGTCTTTGTCCTCAAGGAGCTTAGAGTCCTAGAAAAGAATTAAAGAGACAAAAGACATATGAGAAGTTAAATCATGACCAATGATTTTAATAACAGTTCAAATCAACAGTAGAATAAATGCCATAATTCTTAACATACACAGCCAGGAAAATGCACTAACATTAATTGCTATAAAAATTTAAAGAAGGAAAGGTGATTTCAGGCTAGACTGACTAGGTGGAAAGAGACCAACTGACATGGTTGGGAGAAGACCATGAAGAAAGCATCTGGGGAGAAGTTGGAGCTCATCTGCAGAGGGTTTGAATGTCTGGATATGATATGTAACGCATCAAGGAGCCAATTACTAGGATAGTAAAGGATCAACACAGGTCTGTTGACTAAATCTTAAAATCAAATATTTCACTGTCAGTTTATTTACAAAAAACAATGCAACAATCAGCACAATTTTCTTAAATGAAAATCTAATTTCATCTTCAAATAATGAAAGACAACATCCCTGGTATGTTAATTGGTGAGTGAAAACAGTGGGTTTTCACCCAAGTGTCATAGTGGTCAGGTGTTAGACTCTGGAGCCTGAATGCCTAGACTTCCAAGCCACTTCTGCCACTTACTAGCCAATAGGAGTTACATAACTCCCACTGTGCTTGAAAGTGGGATAATACAGCATCTTCCTTATACAGATGCTATGAAAATTAAAATGAGCCATTTATGCAAAGCATTCGTAACAGTTCTTGGCACACAATACATCTTATAT